AGGCCCAATGCCCATCTGTCACCATAATACTTAACCTACAAATATATGTACATAGACCTATATCCATATTGTCATATATTAATATATTTACATATGTACATGCCTATGTTTATACCTCTATAAATGTCTTTTGTCTCCTAGTTCTTTCCTTTATTTTCTTTTACTTTCTTCCTGTCCCAGTATCATGTTCAACATTCATTTGCCTCTCAGTATTCCTCTCAGCTATATTGCACTCGATCAAACCTCCCCAAGCATTCTATGCCCTCCTCATCATCGATTTTAGACCTCTTGTTGTTACTTATTCTCTTGTTGTTCCAAACCCTTATTCCTGGGTTTGTTGGCTCCCCTGGACCTTTCTCCCACCTCCTCCTCTCCCATGACCCCTGGAACCACTGGTCCCATTGTTTCTCCTTGGGAATGTTTATCCTGCCTATCTTAAATAGATAGACATTGACATCCACTTTGATCTTTTCTATTTTCTTGTCTTTTTAACTGCAATAAGTTTTAATAATAAGTTACACTTATATACCAATTTATATGTAGTTTTACCTATCATAAGCTATATTTCATAATCTGTAGTGTATCTTAGGATAAAACATGTGCGTTTGCATATTTTCTGTAATATATATTAATATTTTAACTCTAATGGAAGGAATTTAAGCTCTGATGGTGTAGCGGTTAAGCATTGGCCTGTGGTCTGCATGATTGGCAGCTCATTAACCCTCGCTGCTCTGTGGGAGAAATACTGGGATTTCTATTCCCAGAAAATGCACAGGGGTCTCTATGAGTCAGCATTGACTCAATGGCAGTGAGTTTTAGAGTCAGTGAAGAGAAGATTTAATTATTTTCTCCAAATTTTCTTTTATCCATTGATTTCATCAGTCACAAAATTGGGCATTAAATCGTGCTCAGGATACCTTAGTCAGGGACTCTTTTAAGCACTGAGTCTAAAAGAAACAAGTTACAAGTTCTCGGAGGCAATTTTAGAAGAGGTACAGAAAGGTCTTTCCTTGCTGTAAAATAAAGTCTATAATAGAAGAAGGGGCAGCGTCCTGCAAGGATTCAGAGCAGGTATATCTACTGTGGCTTACAGAGGAGATATAGCACTACCGAAGGGAAGGCTTTAGAGGAGATGGCACTTTTTCAAGGATTAGTACAAATTAGTGACATTATAGCATATTCCAGATTGCATTATCAGCCTGTGTAAGAGTAAGAGATAAGCTGATGTTGGCACAGTAACTCACAGATTCAGAGATCTGAAATTTGCATCTCAAGAAAGGAATAGGTCAGATCTAACATCACTTTGAATGTTAGACAAGAGTTTGGGATTTGTCTTGAAGACAAAGGGAAAGCACTGAGGATTTAAAAGGAGGTTGAGATGATCAGATTTGTTTTACAGAATTGATTTCTGCTGTTAATATATACTGCAGCACATTGACTTTTCCTTCTATCTATTACGACTCTGGTTTTGGAGTTATTTCAAATTTTTTGTGGGACTGGGGGCAATTTATGTAAGATTTTTGAGCTTCAGTTTTCTCTAACCGAAGATAAACTCCACCGAGACTTTGTAAACTTGAATGCTACTCTGTGCCTCAGAACGTTCAGTTTGACTTTCTGCTGTGTTAGTGGCTTCCCTTCTTCCCGCCTCCCTTTGTGTTTCTGTTTCAATTAGATTTTTTGACACATAATTATTTTTAAAAATCAATTATAGCAATTATTTGGGCTTGTGAAACATTGTTCGAACTATTTTCTCCATTTCTTTCTAGTATCCAGTGGCAGTTTTGAACTCTTAGGAAAATAAATATTACCAGAGGACATCCCAGATAAAGCTTATATCTTGTTTGAAAGTGATACAATTTCCATTATCAGGAGATAATGTATGCTTTATGTCTTACTGCTATTCAGTTGTTAGGTCCCATTGAATAGATTCCGACCCATAGTGACCTTCTGCACACCAGAAGGAAACATCGCCGAGTCCTGCAGCATCTTTCCGATTGTCCCCGTGGAGGCTACTGTGGGCTTGAGCCCATTGTCGAGGCTGCTGTGTCAGGCTGCCTCCTTGAGGGCCGGCCTCGCTTTTGCTGTACATCTCTTGACAACATGTCCCAAATTTAGCAAGTCTCTCCTGACAACATGTCCAAAGTAGAGACGTACATTTTAATAGTTTTATACAAAACAAGACTTTTAAGAATTATAGGCACACTTCGATTTTAAAAAAAATTTTCATTCAATTTTCCTATAGACAGGAGTGAGACAAAATAAAATAAGCTAATTTGAATTTAAATTTTACAATATCCACTTCTGTGGCCCTCAGTATCTAAGCTCCCTGAATAAGACTACAAATTTAAGATGCCATGATTAATGTATCCATTCTAGCAATTGACATTTTGATTTGAAAACAACAAATCCCTGCTTTGCCCCAAGCCTATCGCCTTCTCCTTCCTGTTGGGACTTCAGTCCACCCCCTGCCTTTTTCTCACCTTTCTGTATAGTTTGGCATTCATCTTTCAGATGATGGGGTGTTCTCCATGTTTTGTTTCCAACTCAGTTTGTTTCTAGGGTCCATAGAAGCATTGCATATGGCTTTGCACTGCACATACTATCGAACTGTGCCCCAAGCTTCCAGGGAGTCTTAAGATTGCTGGGAATGAGAGACATGCACCCACTGACATGGACCATTCTAGGGGCGCTACATTCATCTGTGGTCAAGTTGGACACATGAAAGTTGGACACATGAGGCACACTGTTAGCAAAGCGAAAGCTGTTCTTATGTGTAATGAGCATAAAGGGTAAACATTGATTCATGTCCAAATTAACCATGTCTATTCTATGCTGCTAGGCAGATGTGCCATGCCTTAGGCCAGATATGGGTTCATGTCTTTGCTACCTCCAACTGTTACCATACTTCTTGGGGACACTGTCTGGTTCTAAAGCTTCTTCCCTGTTGTGGAGCCTTGCTGACCTCTGATGCCAACTCTCATCACACTACCAGGGCCTACTGGACTCTATTACTGTCATGTTAACTGAGCACCTGTTGTCTGGTAGAAGGGAAGGTGCATGAGGGCAGTTGGGAGGCATGGAGCTACTGTGGCAGGCATATTTCAGCTTTGCTTGCTCTGCATAAACAAGTATTACATTTTATTAAGCTCTGCTGATAAGCCTCTTACCAAGAGGCATCTGACCCAGGCCTGCTCTAAGAAGATCGCTGCATAGGATCTCTCAAAGCAATCTCAGCTATGGTCACCCAGAGGCCTCTCCCCCGCATTAGCAAGTATCAGAGGAGTTTTAACTATGAGCAAGCCTCCTGTCAGAAAATTCTCAGCTTTTGCTCTGTGGGTAGGAAAACTCGCCATAGCTGCCTTGTTCCATGGGCCATCAAGTCCGATCATTTATGTATCTTGTCATCTTATGCTGTGTCCTTTCTGGGTCTAGAAGGTTATAAACACAGGGAATCTTTGCTCCAGACTTTTCTGGGTGATTGTGACATCCCACTTAATTTATGTGGAATTGGCTCTTATATAAACCTAGACCAACCAAACCCACATCTATTGAATTAAATCTGATTCATACTGCTCTATGGGGTTCCATAAACTATACATTTTTATGAAAGTAGACTGCTATATCTTTCTTCTGTTGACAGTTTGGTGGGTGGAAACTGCCAAATTTTAGCCCAATGCTTACACGACTACTTCTAAATTTCAAGGGAACCTGAACCACATACTGGTCAATCCCCTTGGAGAGATAAACCTATTCAATTTCGGCCAATCTCCTGATCGGCTGTAGCCCAGCTAATCATTTTATGGCAGTTCGAAGACAATGGCTAGGAAGGTTATATAATAGCAATTCACTGTACCACAACCCACATACTGAACACTCTGGACTTTAAAACAAAGAAATTCTGACTAGCATACTCATTTCCTCTTGTGTGCTATTACTTAAAGAGGTGTGGCTACTTTATCAGAAAAGTTAAAGATGAAATGTTGGCCAGATGTGTGAGGGAAACAGACATTGAGATCTTTACCTATAATTTATTGTGTAGGCTCAGAGGAGTGTAATGACACACTCACTGTATTTGTGTGATCTACAATATTGGAAAACAGATAAGATGTGGACAAATAGCTTTCTTGCCATTGAATTTTCTTCTACACTGTACTTCCTTCTCCCACGTGTGCTTGTTATTCTTGGTCTATGATCCTATAATTTTACCAGTATTACTAACGTGTCTACACTCTAGGCATTCTTGATTTAGTCCGCTTATGATTCTCAATTTGCAATTTGTGATGAACCCTTCTGGATCCTAGATTCGTAATTTCACGGACATCTGTTCTTTACTTTCTACCTGATGAGATCATCTTTGCTTCAGTACAAGATTGCGTCTTTCACTTAAAGTTGTCAATATCTTCAAACTGGCAATTCTCAACTTCTCGAACAGCTTCTGCTTTGGCTAATCATTTTTAACTCAGAACCTCTGTCATTTTAAAAAACCAGACCCAGTCTACTTTCTGTTTTCTTATCTCATTGATTAATTTTCCATTCACCTCCAGATGAATCCAATCTTTCTTATTAGTCCTTACCCTAAATCTGTCAAGGATAATTCAGACCCCATTTCCTCCAGGTTTTCGATAACTCCCTAGCTCTGTAATTTAAAACGATCTTTACTTCTCTGAGTGAGGTCTGGGTTCTGTTCAGGCTTTCCTCTGCCTGTCAGAGTTTGCACACTGCCTGGTGCACCAATAGGAGGGGAGAGAAGGAGCAGAACTTAAAAGAATGGAAAGTAGTGGCAAGACACCCCTCCACTCCTACAAGTGGATAATCTCTTACTCCCGGCCCTAGGCTGATTCACATCACGTCACTTCCCATATTTTATCAGAAATAAGAATCTAACATTAATTATTTTACCTTACTGTATTTTGCATACATATGACCTGAATATCAACTTCATAATGTTGTATATTTTTTATAATCACAATGTGAGTCCATCAATCTTTTTTTTTAAGTAGAATGCTGACAGGGAGAAGCAAGGAAAAATCACCATAGAAGAATTTAGAGCAATTTATCGAACTATTGCACACAGAGAAGAAATTATGGAGATTTTCAATACATATTCTCCAAATCGGAAAATTCTCTTCGAAAAAAATCTCGTTGAATTTCTAAGGCAAGAGCAGTATATAAATGAAATGACCAGAACGATTGCTTATGAGATTATTCAAAAATATGAGCCCATTGACGAAGGTATGCTTGCATTTCAATGTTTCATCAGAATATTTATATGTAATGCATCATTTTTAATGGATTAAAATGATCAAATTTAATTTTGGCATGAATCAAATTTATTAAAAACATGAAATACTGGAGCTTTTACTTTTATAGTTCACAGAATATATGTAAATTTTTTAGAAAGTTATATTATGCAACAATGGCATTCTTTCTTACTCCTATTCAGCTTCTTTCTTTACCGCTTCTGTATATCCATCAAATTTTCAGAAATGACATTTCAAGGCAAGATGAGAATGGATTTACATGAACAGTAATAGTAGAAAGTGTCTTTATCTCATGGAAAGGACTGAAGCCAAGTTATAAGCAGTCTTGAAATTTTAGACAATATATTATTAAAATATGTTTGTTAATTAATGTACTAGATGAATATAATAGGAGATAAAATGTTCTAAATAATTTCCCCCCAAATTTTATAAGCATACTTGACTACACCACTTCATAAACATTTACAAGTCTTTCTCTGTCTTTCACTTTGAACACTCAATTTTTTGTTTTAAATTTAAAACTGCACTAACAATCTAGCATATATATTTTATATATATTCCATATTTTATTAAATATTAACACTTAATATTTAATGTAGCTTGCATATTTTTAAAAAAGCAATGAAAATATAATTCTATGAAACAGTCACACCATGGCACAAAAATAGTGCTAAATCACAATATTTAACATTACTGAAATTAATGGAAGGAATAGTACATAACATTCAATCAGCAAGTACAGTGTCAAAGCCCAAATCCTACATCTGGAAGTTGGTTTTTGGCTGTCCGTGTTTAACCTATGCAATATGCATTCTAGCAAAACCAATATTTTCCTTCATTTCATCATGCAATTATAATTCACTCAAATGTTTATTTCTGAAATCAAGTTCTGTTGTAGGGTATGGGGAATATTAGATCTTTTTAAAAATAATTTTATTGGGGGGAATATTGGATCCTATGTGGAGGCAGGTAAAAATGGTGCTACAAAAACACAGAAACCAACATGCACCACTTTGTTGGAGGGGTTGTCGCATCAGCACAGATCAGATTTTTGAGAGAGAGGGAGGGCAGAGTCAGGGCAGAGTCAGGGCAGGTACCATGCTCCTAATAAACCACATTGGTCTGAGTTCCTGTCCACACTCTGGGGACCAAGGTCTTGTGCTATAGAACCCTGAGACATTGAACCCTGGATCTTCAAGGTGCGCAATGGCCATACCAGAGAGACACGAAGTGGACTGGCTCTAACTCAAACACACTTATAACTTGAGAACTTAAGACTGAAACTGCATGGTGTGTGAAGAGCAGAAGACAGCTATCCCAAGAATATTGAACTGTCAGTCAGCATTTACACAGGATTTCAAAGTCCTGTTTGCAATATTATTATATGTGTTATTCTGGCAGACCTGGGTCTGAAATTGTCAGTGAATATTATTGTAAGTTTTTCCTGACCATCAACTCCCATTGTTGGTGTAATAGTGTCCAATCTAGTCACACAAGAATTTATTCTGTGAAAGTGAATAACCCATGATTTGCAAAATGTAGTTAGCCTACATTTGTTCAGTCTTCCTCTTTCAATAGTGTTTTAAAACAATTAGTATGAGCTAATCCATGACACTATAAACAGAAGGTCCTTATGCTCCAGGGAGATGAGGAATAAGATTCTCTGCCATAATTTAATATGGATGCCTCTCGTATGAACCAGAGACAGATATAAAACAGCTTCAGGAATGTATTTGGGGCTCGTATTAAATCCTTGCTCCAATCAAAGAAGAATTAGTTCATATGACATGACCCTGCTTGATACTCCCCTCTCATAAAGGAGGGGTACATAAGATATGGGTACTAAAGCAAAGTGTGATGATGAAATTAGATTGTGACTGGCTATCAGAAAGAATAGTGTCTGGGGTTTTAAAGGCTTGTTTGCAAACCAAATGAGACATCAACTAAGCCCACATGGAAGAAGCACACCAACATCTGTGACCCAAAGATTGTAAATAATATAATCCAAATCCAAAGGAGGAAATAGTATCAGAATTTACACTGTGGGATTCTGGTTTGCAGAAGACTATGGATGACAGTGGAAACCCAAGATACATTAGTGAGATCTACACAAGAAATAAGCCTCTGGTGATTTCCTTCTTTCCATAAGGGAGGGATGGGAATAAACTGATTATAAAACAGAGAGTATTAGAGAGATGACTATAGGAAATCAAAACGATAAAGTCTTGTCACTTGATCCCCCCTCTGATATACTTTGGGCCTGATCTGGCTTTCAATACTTTGTGTGTGTGTGTGTTTTCCATATTGGCGTTTATCTCAAATGTATTTTGTCATTGTAGGTAGTCCTTTTGAGTTTTTGTTATAGGACTTTTGTATATGAAATCCAGATTGATGAGCCTATAGAGCCATCAAGTAGAGTAAGGGTTACTGGGGGAGACTGGTGGTAAGGAGGAGCTGATATCAAGGAGCTCAAGAAGGAAGAAATGCTTTGAAACTGATTGTAGCAGCAATTGTGCAATACTGACTGATGTGACTGAAATAGAGAATGATATGATATCTGTAAGAGCTCCCAACAAAATGGAGAAAACAAAAAACCCAAAGAAACCTTTAATAAAAATATCAAAATGTGAAGTTATTGTTTCTGACCATATCCTCCATATATGTTTATATCTTTCCGAAAGTGGTATTTCCATCTCTCTAAATCTTCCCAGAAGAATTTCACACTTTTCCATTTGTACCACATTGAAGCAGCAGGGACTCAAATATCACTTTTTGAAATAAAATATTATTTGAGTTTGGGGAACAAAATTTTTTGTTCAGGGACTTATGACGGCTGTGATACAGTTTCTGAGTTAAGTTCTTGTAGGGCAGCCCTTTCTACCCGTAAAGAAGGAACACATGCATTGTCATGATGGGGAAAAAAATGGCTCAATTTTCCTGGTCTTTTTCTTATCAATGAATCCTTCAGTTTTTAAAAAAACTTCTTCCTAATAAGTCCAGTATCTTTTATTTATTCTTATATCTTTATTTTCTGTAGGAATCATAACGCTACTAATGAAGAAATTCATATTGAAAATAGAGTTTCAGATAAAGGACAGGTTCTTTGGTGTTTCATTAATAGCAAGAATGAATGAGTTTTTTAATTAGAGTTTTTTTTGTACCTTTTGAAAAATTTTTTAAGATTAGCTCTTTGGGAATCGAAAAGTTACTTGCTATAACTTCTGAGCTGACTTATTAGCTTGAATTTAATTGGCCCAAGAAATTCCCAGGGAAGCCACTGTTTTTATTAGACCTCATTCTCTGGATCATATTAATGAATTCACAACTCAGTTTTTAACAACTCAATTTGCAACAACTCATTACAATTTGTATCATAAAATCATCTTTATTAACTTTGGTTTTGCTTAAAAACTGATGGAAACATCAGATCTTTGCACAATAATTTTGGCATCCATTTTTTTTGGAAGGTATTCTAAACAGAGGAAATAACAAAACCGAACTTACTGCCATCAAGTAGTGACCCTATAGGTCAGGGTCAAACTTCCCCTGTGGGTTTGGGGGACTGTTACTTTTTTTAAAATAATCATTTTATTAGGGGCTCATACTACTCATCACAATCTGTACAAACATCATTTGTGTCCAGCACATTAGTACATATGTTGACTTCATCATTCTCACAACACCTGCTTTCCACTTGAGCCCTTGGTGTCAGCCCCTAATTTCCCACCCCCCTCCGTGCTCCCCCCTCCCGCTGAACCCTTGATAATTTTAAATTATTATTTTATCATATCTTAGCCTATCCGACGTCTCCCTCACCTACTTCTCTGCTGTCCGTCCCCCAGGGAGGAGGCCATATGTAGACCTTGTCATTTGTTCCCCCTTTCTCCTTCACCTTCCCTCCACCCTCCCAATATAGCCACTCTCTCCACTGGTCCTGGGGGGTTCATCTGTCCTGGGTTCACTATATTTCCAGTTCCTATCTGTGCCAGTGTACATCCTCCGGTCCAGCCGGATATGTAAAGTAGAATTGGGATCATGGTAGTGGGGTGGAGGAAGCATTTTTTATAGGAGTAGAAAGCCTGGACTTTCTCCCCCAGAGTGACTGGTGGTTTCAAACTGCACACTTTACGTTCAACAGCCTATTGAGTAACCGCTACGCCACAAGACTAAGACAAGTGCAATATTGAGAGAATGTGTGTCTTCAGCCATTCAGTGATCACAGAGACTTGTCAAAACGTGTTTCCTTTGGTGTAAACACACGCATCCGTGAAGTGAAATCATAGTAGAAATACTTTTTGACTTATCTCCATGTTCTTGATGTGGGTTGGTGAGAGATAGAAAATAAACAAAAAGGAAAAGACTAAGTAATTCCAGGTAGCTGAGGAGTTGAGAGGACAGTTTTTCTTTTGTATTAACTGAATTATCATCATCATTATCATCCATTTCAGCAGCTAATATTTATAGAGTGCTAATAATGCTCAGTTTCTCAAAAAATCATCACACTTAGTCCTTACAACACAAAAGTAAATTCCATGATTATCCTCATTTCAAAGATGAAGATCCATTAACTAACACGATCAGGGTCAGATCATAAGTATACCTACTTATCAAAGAGACATAGTTGGATTTCAAAGACTAAGTCATTATAAAAACTTAGTGCTACAAGAAAATGGAGATTGGTCAAATCAGATAAGAAAATGGAAGATGACTACATCATTACATAACTACTAAAGGAATGAAAAATCAAATTGATACCAAACATTAATTATCACAGACAATTAATCTTGCCTAGCACCTTGGTGTTGATTGCCGTACCTGGGCATTTGTTACTGCTCAGTGTATGTCGGATGCTTTCACTACTGGTAATTGTGGAATGCCAGGAAATGAGATAATTGATACATAAGGAGTAGTTGAATGTGTATTTGAATACAGGCTGGTTTTGGAGTGAATTTTCTGCTTAAATCTAACTTGTGAATACATAACATTGAGTGCAAAAGTACAAACATAATTTATGTAACTCAAATGTATAACTTGAAATTCTTTTTGTCAGCATATGCCCAACAGAAATGTGTACGTATTTACACAAAAAATGATATATACTAGTTATTTAGATATTTGTAACAGTCCCACACCAGAAACGATATAATTGGACACCAAGAACAGAATGGAAAATAAATTCTGGAATATTTACATTATATAGCAATGGAAAAGAAGGCTCTATAACTACATGCAAGGCCAGGGATGAATTTTAGGAACATTATGACAAGTAAAAGAAACCAGACAAAGAAAAGAATGCATATTGTATGCATCTACTTATATAGAGTGCAAACACCAGAGAAAACTAACATGCTGTTAAAAGCCAGAAAAGGTGATGCACTTAGGAAGGTGCGTATCCTCAAAGTGAACAGCAAGCTGGCTTCTGGGGAGCTATAATACACTTGCAGTGTTCTGTTTTTTGTCCCGGGTCTAGTTGCCCAGGTGTTTAGCTTGTAGAGATTTATGGATCTATAATTTGTTTACAAAAAATATTTGTTTACTCTTTTGTGTATTTTTTAGCCATGAAAAACTAGAGATAATGTATATTCCTTCATTGTTGATATCAAAACAGTATTCACTAGAAAATTGTTTCTAAATATTTTAAATAATATTAATTTTAAATAAACATTTTAATATACTCTATGGCTTAATAAATTTAGACCTGAAATACAGTACTAGTAATCTTGTATAACTTTTCACTTTTCTTTAATAGTTAAGAAGCACAAACAGATGTCAGTTGAAGGTTTTACAAGATACATGGATTCACCTGAATGCTTTCTGTTTAAAAATGAGTGCAGAAATGTTTATCAAGATATGACTTATCCATTATGTGATTATTTTATCTCAAGCTCACATAACACATACTTGGTATCTGATCAATTAATGGGACGAAGTGACCTTTGGGGATACATAAGGTATTTATTTTTATTTTCAAATGTATTATATTTTGGAGGGGACATTTTAGTGTGGTTTAGGTGAAATTTTACAAAGCAAATTAGTTCCCTACTCAGTAATTTGTGCATAGAATATTTAGTAACACTGTTTGCAAACCCCTCTATTGATTAATGCCTCCCCACTTCTAGCCTGCTTTGCTGCTTTCTGAATTGTGGTTTTGAGCAAATGCTAAGCCTTTGGTCTCATAGAGTGGAATGTTTGAAGGAATATGTTCCTTAGTGTGTTATTGTTCACTTCATAGATCTGCCCAATCTTTGGCTGTACGGTTATCTTCAGGATTGGGTTCAGTTCTAAATTTACAGGGTGTCTAAGGGTTATAGTTTTGGGGGTTCTCCCTGTCTGTATCAGACCAGTAAGCATGGTTATTTAAAATGAATTTGAATTTAATTCTATAAATTTTCACTCATGCTACATATGACCTTCTATTGTGACCCTGATGAGAGTGGTCAGTAGTGGTATTTGGGCACCATCTAGTTTTCTCGTTTCATCCTAATGGAGAATGTGGTTCATGTGGTCTATTTTCTTGTTTTTAAAAAGGGAAAATTAATATCACATGTCTCATACATAAGATGAAATATTTTAGTTCAAGAAAGTCTACTTAAAGTTACTATCAGTGCCAGTTCAACCAGAAAAAAAAATTGACTTCCACAATTTAAAGATGCTATAACAAAAATTATATTTTAGTCTTAGATTATTTATTGGAAGGACTTTATAGGGTAGTACCCATAGCTAAATAACATAAATAACATAACATAATAAATATTTCATACTATTTTTTTCTGTATAATTAATAGATTAAAACCAGAAATTCACCGTTAATCTTACTAACAGCCAAAGTCAAGAGAGAGACGATTAGTTAAAAGATTTATAGTCACCAGCTAACGCAAAATAGTTCCTCAGAAGTGAAGGGTTTCTTAACAGAGAACTTTCTCTTATTTAGTGTAAAATAGTGGGCAGTGACCTCAATGGCACTCAGAATAGACTGCCAACTTTTACAGGGCCTTGGATAAGTAATTTACGTAAAGACAGTACAATCTACTTATTTCTGAAAACAAAACCAGGTCGTTTGAATATGCAGTTTGAAAAGTTTCTCAAGATTGGCTTGATCTTTTAAGGATAAACTGAAGTAACTATGGAAGTAGCAAGACTCAGTATCATATTTTTTTTTTCAGCAGAGAGTTGAAGGTTTTTATCTAGGAGCATTCTAGAATATGGAAGTGTATATTGATGATATTGTATTCTATTTGTACAATTAACTGCGTAGGGTGAAACAAACATTCTTTCATGGCAATTAAATTTTACAAGTAACTATCTAATCTCCTCCAATTAAAATTCTAAATAAAAAACATATTCATACACAAACATTCTGTATTCGTTTAGAATTTGATAATATGAGTATAACCTCATATAGAACCTCTGCCTAAAACTAAGTCTCTACCTTGTTTCCTTACAAAATATTTATGAGTCAGAAGAGATTTTCCTGGAAAAGTATATTTCAGTCTATTACACCAATAGATGCTAGTAAGACTAGCCAAAGGCTCAACTTTTATATATAAAACTTACAGCACATGATTACAGGACTGGAGTAAAAAGCTTGCATTTAAAAATACAAAAATGATCTTTCGAAAGAACCAAATTTACTGCCATACCGTCTATTTTGATTCATGCTGACCCTATAGGGCTGGGTGGCACTACCGCTGGGAGTTTTCCGAGGCTGTAGCTATGGGAATGGGAGTAGAAAGTCCCGTCTTTTTCCTGCAGGGCAGCTGGTTGTTCCAACTGCTGACATTGACGTTTTCAGTCCATTGCCTAACCACTACATTCTTAGGGTTAAAAATGATCCTAGCAAAAGAAAAATGTGAAAAGGCATGAATTAATCATTGAATGTTGTGATCTCTGTTGTGCCTCTAAGATGGACGAGAATTGCCAAGTCCCTTCCTTCTAATTCTCATCTCCAGATTCCTTCCATCTTTCGTGAATGCTCTTCCCAATAAACACGGTTGCTGTTCGCTTCAATTGAGTCAGTTCTGAGTGTAGCAACCTATGTACAACAGTACGAAACATGGCCCTGTTCTGCGTCATCCCCATAATTGTTATGTTTGAGCCCATTGTTTCAGCTGTGGCGACAATCAATCTTGTCGAAGGGCTTCTTTTTCATAGCCTTTCTACTTTACTGAACATGATGCCTCCTCAGGGCCTGGTCTCGCCTCCTAGCATGTCTAAAGTCTGTAAGATGATGTCTCACTAGCCTTATTTCTATGGAACTTTCTGGATGCACTTCTGCCAAACCTGATTTGTTTGTTCATTTGGCAGGATGATACTTTCGAGATTCTTTGCCAGCACCACAATCCAAATGCATTGATTCTTCTTCTGTCTTCTTTATTCAATGTCCAAATTCCACATGCTTCGGAGGCAGTCGAAAATACCATGGCTTGGATCAAGCACATCTTCATTCTCAAAGAGACATCTGTGCTCTTCAATATTTCAAAGAGATCTTGTGCAGCAGATTTAACCAATGCAATTCATCGCTGTGTTCTTGAGTACTTGTTCATGAGTATTGATTGTAATGAAACATAAGCTCCCTTCTGAATTCAGTACTTTGACTTGATGTCATAATGATCATTTCTAAGCTACATTGTGACCTAAATATTACCTGAGCAATTTCTTTGGAAACTTAGAAAATTGACTAAATATCTCAAAAGAAATACTGGGTCTAATCACTCTATTTTCCCAAGGGTCCATTTTGTACTTTTTTGGAAAGCTGCCAATTCTCTATCAAGTACTTATTGCTGAGATCACATTTGCTCTAAGATGTCATGGGCACAGGTGATTATGCATTGAGCTGCAATCCTCATGGTCGGCAGTTTGAAACCACTAGCATCTCTTGGAGAGAAAAACTGGGATTTCGACCCTTATACAGAGTTGCAGTCTCAGAAAACATAGGGCATTGCTATGAGTCTGCTTTGACACCGTGGCAGTGAGTTAGGTTTTTGGTTTGATCACTGTGTAGGGGAGATTTCTTAAACTCTTAAATATTTGGCCAGATAATTCATTGTGGGGGGATCGTTTTCATATTGTAGCGTGTTCAGCAGCATCCCAGGTCTCTACTCAATAGATGCCTCCCAGGGCCATTTAACAATGTCTGAAGACATTTTTGGTTCCCTTAAGTAGGAAGTGTGCTATAGGCATCTACTGAGATGAGAACCATTGGCTTAGGGATAGTGGACTAATTTAATATATCTGTTGGGAACAAAAAGTGTGGATTTGGTTTTCTATGGGAAAACATCTCTATAAAAAATCAAACCACTGAGTCTCTTCTGACTCATAGAAGCCATGGGTCAGACTTTGTAGGCTTTGTAAGACTGTAAATTCTTATGAAAGCAAATGGTAGATTTGAATCATCACTTTTTTTTTGGATCAACAGCCCAAAACTTAGCCCACTGCTCCACTCTTTTTCATAATATATAGAGGAAACCTGGTGGCAAAATTATTATAGTGCTTGACTATCAACCAGAAAAATGGTTGATGGAAACAACCCAGTGACTTGAAGGGAGAAAACCTGGTGATCTCCTTTCTTAAAGAGTCCAGCCATGAAAACCATGTGGGGCAGTTCTACTGTGTTGCTATCAATGAAGTAGTCTTGATGGTACGTAAGATACCTAACAACTATATGTGAACACCACTTCTAAGATCTGGGTTTAAATTCATCCCTTTTTTGATTCAATTTGATTTCTTTCAAGTTTGAGCATTAGCATGCACATCTCTGTCAGCCTTCTTCTTTTCTTATACCCATATGCTTATTATTATTTCTTTTTATACTATAAACACAATAAATATTTATTGAAAATCAGTAATAGGTGAAACATTATTTGATAAATTGAGATTCCAGTTTCTAGTCTTGTAGAACTTAGAGCAAAATAGTAAGTATGTACTTTGAGATTCAAATTCATAGTACTAAACACGTACCATCTTGGAGTACTGATACTTTGGCCTGCACACATTAATCCTATGAAGGCTGTGCTTACATAGAGATTAAAATAAGAAGAAAGGTGTGTTCAGCATATGGAGTGTATATATAAATATTGCATATGAATCTATGGCTATGAGTGTACATCACAGAAACCATGATGTCATTGCATCAATTCCTCCTTGTGGCCACCCTTTAGGTCAGAGTAGAGCTGCTCCCTAGGCTGCCAAGGCTATCAATCTTTACAGGAGCAGCCAGCCTTGTCTGTCTCTCACCAGCAGATGGTAGGTTCAAACCACAGACCTTTCAGCTAGCAGCCTAACCCATAGCCCACTACATGGACATGGCTCCTCTATACCCACTCAGAGCCAAACTGACTGCCAATGAGTTGATTCTGACTCATAGTGACCTTACAGGGCAGGGTCAAACGGCTTCTGTGGGTTTCTGAGGCTGTACATCTTTGCAAGGGTGGAAAGTTCATCTTTCTCGTATGGAGCTGCTTATGGTTTCTAACCACTGACCTTGTGGTTAACGGCCCTACATGGGTCCCACTAGGGCTCCTGCCTCTGTCACAACAATATGTGTATAATGAGAACAGGCACTCTATTGCAGGAATATTTTCATAGGCCAATAAAATCAATTCTAGAGAATTTTGGTGAATTCTTGTTAACTAATTTCATGGAAGTATTCAGTAGTCTGCTCTGGGGTGTCTGTGAAAATTTCAAAACATTGGTGTATATTCAGTATTGTGAATGCACTGAAAAATCTGAATGCAATAAGCTCTAATGATACAGTTTAAGAAATAAAAGTATGTGTGCCAATAAAGCAGATTCTTCACAGCTCTCTTGTAAGAACACTGAACATTCGGTTAAAACTGATCAGTCTAAGGAAATTTGTGATTAGGTCAAGAACTGAAGATGAAATGTACCTTTCTTTCAGTTCTGACAAAGTCTTAAACTTACTGCAATCCCTTCTAACTTTTTTCCCAGTGAAACTGTGAATCAAACATATATAAATTAGTAGATATTCTGGCTACATTTGCATAGATCAGATCTACTTGGATTAGAGCTTAGCTTTTACTTAAATTAGAAAGGGAGATAGATTTACAGAAAGTGATTAAGTAGATTCAGTTTGTTTCCTAAGCCATCTGGCCCTTTATCTAACATACATCCCATCTGACATTTTCCCTAGGAAGCAAGGAATTTATTAATTTTCCCCCTTTTTCCAATCATGCACAGTATCTCCAAAAACAACTAATGAGAACAAGAGTGTGATAAATTTTATTAAAATAATGTCTTATTCTGAGACGATTTTTGCCTCATTTTAGCGGTATTAAAGGAGACAGCAGGATAACTTGGGAGGGCAGTAGGGATGTTTTGTAGTTCCAACCATAAAAACGGGCTTAATCTACGATTACCTGTGAACCAAGCCTTGTGTGGAAGTAATAAAGAGTAGAACCAATGATAAAAAAGAGAAAGAGTAGGCATGTTTCTGTATTTTACAGATCCCTCCCTCCCTTCTTTCCTTCCTGCCTCCCATTTTAAGGCTGTGACTTCCTAGACAAAATCCCTGACCTTGTCTTTCATATGGATTTAAATATTCACGTACTGAAAAATTACAAGTGATGTTTGAAATATTTTGACACTATGGTACACCTTTTTATGGTTTAAGAGTGACTATTTTTGTTGAATTTTCCTAGTGCCCTTCTGAAAGGATGCCGTTGTCTAGAAATTGACTGCTGGGATGGGTCACAAAATAAGCCCATTGTCTACCATGGTTATACACTTACCAGCAAGATTCTATTTAAGACAGTGATCCAAGTGGTACACAAATATGCATTTTTGGTATGTGCATAGCTTTCTTCAATTGTAGCTATTTAAACAGAAACAGTCCTATTGCCTTTAAAATCCTATAATCAGTTTAGATTAGTGGTATTTCAGATTGTGGGCATGGCCCCTTTTTTATGTAGCAAAATAAATGTAGTGTATGGTAAAAAGTTTTGTCAGTTTGCTTTATGTAGCAAAGGTGCATGTTGTTTTATACAGGTTTTTGTTTTAATGTGAATTTTTTATCATGAATCATGATGTCTAAGAAATAATGGTCAACATAATAGTTCATATCTTATGAATATTTAACTATTTCATTTTTAAGATATAAAATTTTTTATAATAAAAGAGCATATATGTGTATGTAAAATACAATTCATAATTTTTTTCTTTGACAACAACTTTTCCTTCATAAAACTACACCAAGGATAACTATATATAGCAATATTTACAGCTCTATCTCTTTTTTAATGGGTTTATAGTAATCTTTATATGCATATAACATAATTTATTTAAATGGTAGCCACTGCTGACTGCCTCAGATCTTTCCTATATTTCTAGTGCAAACAACAGTTTTCCTTTTAAGATAAATTTAATGCTCCCTGCTCTGTCAAATGCGAACACATTTACAATGTAAAAAAACTTATTAATTCTGCAAAAGCACTGCCTATTAGAAGTTTTAAAGCAAGGAAGTTTGTATATTAACTGAAATAAAATTATTTCAATGTTCTGATCAATAACCTTTAGCAATGGTTACTTTTTTAGACATCTGACTACCCAGTGGTGCTCTCTTTAGAAAATCACTGCTCCCCCGCCCAACAGGAAGTGATGGCAGATGATTTGCAGACAATTTTGGGAGATACTCTGCTGTCTGATATGCTTGACGATTTTCCAGACAAACTACCATCACCAGAGGTAGCTCTTTTCCCCTGAGAAACTCAATTTTCTAAAAAGTTACTGTTTTATTATTCTATGAAACTGGGTTAAAGATGAATGAAAAACCTTACTTTTGGTATTTCTTAAGATATAGTTTAAAATGTGTTCCTATGAATATTTAGGTGAATTTATATGTATTGGGTAATGGTAGACTCTGAGTTGTGAAAATGGTTCATACACTGGGCTCGGCTGCTAAATGTTGGAGGATGGAAGTTCAAATCCACGCATAGACCCCTCATAAGAAAGACTCAGAAATCTACTTCTGAAAATTCAGCCCCAGAAAACTCAAGCGTCATTCCACTCTGACACACGTGGGGTTAGCATGAGTTGATATAAACAAGACAGCCACAGGTTTGATGGTTATTTGATAAAAGATGCTATAGATATATGTACAAACATTTATCTTTTACATTTTTATTTCACTATTTTTTTCTGTCAGTTTGTCATACTAGAGTGACTGTGATGCTGGAAGCTAATTCACTGGTATTTCAAATACCAGCAGGGTCCCCCAAGGTGAATGGGTTTCAGCTGAGCTTCCAGCCTAAGAGGCGCTACAAAGAAAGACTCAGGCGTTCACCTCTGAGGAATTCACCTCTGAAAACCTCCTGAATTTAAAACCATCTCCAGAATAAACCTAAATGTTGAACACCGAGGGCAGAAGAGTTGATGAGCTGTGAGATGACACCAAGAACATCTTACATGCAAAACCGCAAAACATCATCAAAAAGACAGAGAAGAAATAAAAGATCAAAGAGGATGTCAGAATAGAGGCTGATATTTGCTACAGATTGTAGAGTAGCTAAAACAAATGGAAGAAATAAAATACCAGAGCTGAACAGAACATTTCAAAGGGCAGTAGACAAAGTAGAATATTATAATTAAATGTGCAACGATTTGGAGTTAGGAAAACTGAAGGCATTATTCAAAAGCAAGGCTCCAGGAGTTGATAAAATACCAATTGAAATATTTCAACAAGTTCAGGAACACTCACTTGTCTATTCCAAGAAATTTGGAAGGCAGCTACTTGACCAATTGATTAGAAGAAACCTAGGTTTGTGTTCATTCTAGAGAAAAGTGACTCAACAGAATGCAGAAATTATAGAAAAATATCATCAATTCAAGTAAAGTTTTGCCAAAGATCGTTCAATAATGGTTGCAGGAATGCATAAATAGGCAGCTGTGAGAAATTCAAGCTAGATATGGAAGAGGATCTGACATGAGGAATATCACTGTTGATAACAGATGGATGTTGGCCCAAAGCCGAGAACACCAGAAAGGTGTTCACTTGTGTTCTATTGACTATGCAAAGGCATTCGACTAATTCCACTTCATTGTGCTCAGGTAGATCCTGTACCTGGACCAAAAGTCAGTCTTTTTAACAGAACAGTGTAATACTGCGTGGTTTAATATTAGAAAATGTGTGCTTGAAGGATGTATCTTTTCATCATCTTTACTCAGTTTGCTAAGTGAATACTCTGAGAAGCTGGACTATGGGAAGAAGAGCGTGGCATCCAGGTGGGAGGAATGTTTGTGAACAATCTGCAGCACCCAGAGGCACAGCCTTGCTTACTGGAAGCAAGGAGGGGTTGAATCACTTGTTGATAAAAACCAAGAACTGCAATCTTCAATATTGATGGCAATTCAATATTAAGAAAATCAAAGTCTTCATAACTGAACCAAAGGTCATACCATGACAAATGGAGAAAAGATTGAAGTTATTAAGGATTTAATCTTGTTTGGAGCCACAATCAATGCTCATGGAAAGCCAAACAGCAATCAGGAAATCCAGCAATGTATTAGAATGGAAAAACCTGCCGCACAAGACTTTGTCGAAGTGTAGATGAATGAGAATCTCATGCTATGGAATATGGTGTCTGCCTCAAACTGTGATAGCTTCAGTCAACTCATATTGATGTGAAAGTTGGACAATAAGGAAGGAATACTGAAGAAGAATTGATGAATTATGATGGCTTTTGGTGCTATTGAGGACTATGCTGAGTACCTTGGATTGCCAGATGAATAATAATAATAGTAATAATAATAATAAGAAGAAGAATAACAAAGTAGTCTCGGAAGAGCTGAGCTTCCTCTTTAGAAGAGACGGTGGTAAGACTTCCTCTCACTTACTCTGGACATGTTACTAGCACAGGTCTGTCCCTGGAACAGGACATGGCTGTACCAGTGGGCTCAGGAGTAGCCATTGTGAGGCCAGTGCAGGATCGGGCAGTGATTTCTTCTTTCTTGCACAGGGTTGCTATGAGTCGGAAACAACTTGCTAGCACCTAACAACAATAGTTTTATTGTACTTAATACTTTAAGGGTCTAAAATTGCAAGTCAATTAATATTTGGTTTTAGTCATTTGCTTTAATATTTCATACACAAATGGCTGAGAAATAGGGCCCAGATCCACAATGGAACTAGATGAGCATCCACTACCGCGTTCTCATCACTTGGGTACACAAATCTCTTTCTTCTGCTCTTTGTTTTCAATTTCCCTGTCTCTACTGGTCTTTCTCCCTTCAGTTAAGCATACAAACTTATTTGATTTTTAAAGTACTCTAAGTTCTACTGTCAGATTTTCACTTCTCTTTCCATTCACCTCTTTATTTTATTCTTACTCTTAGAGCCTACTTTTCCATTTGGTCATCTATTCAAAAACTGCCCACTCAAGTCTCCTGACGGCTCCACAGTCATCTGTTTCCTTGTGGCTCCTCAAGATTTCTGTATAAGACACATTCCTTGAGCTTCCCTCATTTTTTTTCAGGGCACTCCTTTTGACTTAAACATTTTTAGTTTTAGTTTTGCTGCCCCCTTCTCCCTTACCTCAAATTTTATCAGATTTATACATGAACATTTTGAGTTTTACAGAATAATCTTTACAGAACAGTTGTGGCTGAATAGTCTAACAATTAATAGTTTAAGTTTCATATGTCACCATTTTGGGAAGCTAGATGTATTTTTGTAATGCTTGAATTACAAAAATAATCTTTACTTGTTATTTTATTGATATGAGTGTAAAAATCTCATGAAAACTTTTGTGACATTTGTTTAAAGAAGTGTAGGACTCCTGCTATAATTAGGAAAAATGTATTATTCGATAAATGACAAATTATTTATTTTATCTTTAAGAATGTTCACAGTACTTTCACTAAACACAACCTTCACTAAGCACAGATCAAAAGATCTAGTTAGTGCCAGGCTTACATTACTAAACTGCTCAGATCAGGCTCATAACAGAAGGCCCAGGACAGAGTGAAGGAAAAAGAAAACGTAGAAGAAAATTCAAAATCATAATGGAAGAAGCACATCAGCCCGTGTGATCCAAGGATTCTAAATTACAAAACCCAAGTCCAAAAGAAGGAATTGTAACAGAGCTTAAATTATGAACATCTGGTTTACAGAAGGCTATGGATGTCAATGGAAGCCTAAAATCCATTTGCAGGATTCATGCATGGATTAAACTTCAGGTGAAGCCCCTCTGATCATAACTGAGGGATATGAATAGTCTTGTTATCAGGCAGAGAGCACTGTAAAGTCAATTATGGAAGCTGTAGTTAGGTTAAAATCCAATATCTTACCAGTTGACCTCCTTTTGACCAATTTTAAAGTTGCTTAGATTAAAAAAAAAAAGTGAAGGGGAAATACACATAGATTAAGCTTCTGGGGAATCCCTTCTAACCATAGACCAGGGATGTGCATATCCTGCCTATCATTCAGAGTGCTTTAGAAAGTGGATTATTGCTGATACAGTTAGCTTAAGGTTTAACATCATATCATTTGATCTTCTCTTTGACCCATTTTAAATTTGTTCTACCTTTTAATATTGTCTACTTTCTTTTCAAGTGAGGCTTTTCTCTGTTTTATGTTGTTATTGTTTTTAGTTTCTTTGCTTTTTGGGGGGGAGTATGTTTTTCTGTATTTGAATTCTAGGATAGGTATATCTATAAATGCAATAACTGGATTATCATTTCTTGGGGTTACTTATGGTCAAGGAGGTTTGGGGGAATTGGGAAGCTAATAACAATGAGTACAACAAGAAGAGAATGTTCTAAAATTGATTGTGGTGATGATTGTACAACTCTTCTTAATGTGATTGAACTGTTGTGTAACGTGACTTATATGTGTAACGTGACTTAAAATACTCAAAATCCTAAAACGACCTAAAAGCTGGTGGAATTTCAAGACTGTGGCCCTTAGATACCCTTCAGGTCTGGAAGAAAAGAAAAGAAGAAGAAGAAGAAGAAGAAGAAGAAGAAGCAGCAAACATTCAGAGTGCAAATGTGTCACTCCATAATCCAGAATTCAGCACTGTCTGCAGTACACCAGCCACTTGATAAACATATTTGTTAAATTGACTTTTTAAAAGGACAGGAATAACTAATTGAAATAAGGGAACCAGAAGACTTTGTATTTGAAATGAGCAACGAATTAAAAATAATCAACCTGTGGATGTTGAGTCAATGTCAACTCATGGTAACCTTATAGGGCAGAGTAGAACTACTGACTAGGGTTGTTACGTTGGTAATCTTTATGGGAGCAGACTGCCAAATCTTCCTTCCATGGGCAGAGAGTGGGTTGGACCCACCAAAGCTTATGTCTAGCAGCTGATCATTGAGCCTCTGCTCCGACAGGCACAGGATAAATGATGCTGATAATAAATTTTGCTATATTTCTAGCTTGGATTCTCAAGAGATATTTTCATTGATATTCTGTTCTAGTTGTTTTACTCCCATTCTGCTTAGTCTCACTACCCCTTAAACTGCTCATTCATGCTTGAGGGTAACGATGTCCATTTGATCTCACATAGATGATCTTTGAAAAAGATCTCAGTACTCAAGGGTGGTGTTCTTTACATTTCCAGGTAATCTATTTAGTTCAAAGGTGTCCTTGGGGTATACTTTAGTTTCAAAGTTTAAAGACTGTATAAGGATAATAGTCTTGGTGATTATTTAAGTTAATATGGATTCTTTAAGAATTTGGAGCTCCACATTTCCCCCCTTTCTATTAGGATGCATTTATTGTGCTCCTGATGAGAACATGTTGTTGCCACTATTTCTTTGGGGATTAAGGTGGATTAGACAGTGGCTTCTGGTGACAGCTAGTCCTGTAGTCCAGTTCCTTCTCCAAGTCTTGGATATTTTTCTTTTTCTTAAGCTTCAAATGAATACAGGCCAATAATTTAATTTTAAATGGCCACTTGTCATCTTTACAGATCACAGACACTACATTTACCAACATTAGGAGGTAGAATATAACTTTAACAACTATTATGCCAATGTTCTTAATTGTCCCATGAGACCATGATACTAACTCTTCCAACCAAAGAAAGGTAATTCAGTGAGATTATTGGTTATGTCTAAGAATCATCAGTTTCTGTAGTTCCTTATTTGTTATTTTTCAGTCTCATTTTTCTGGGACTTTTTGAGGCCTCTGTGTGTGTAGGTGTGCTGTTATTATTGCCAAATTATATAATATAAAAACAGAACCATAAAACAAACACATTGCCATCACCTTCATCCCAACATTTGTCAATTCATTATTTTTCTGTGTACAAAGTATTGGCATCAATTGCATTAATCAATCTGGGCAAATTCATCCACAGATCTTGCAATTTTCTGTCCCTAAAACAAAGTGACTCTACCTGTAGAGTGATCCCCTCTCGCTCCGTCTCCTCCAGCTGGTAACCAGCAGTGAGCAATATAGTTACCTCTATTATCATTTCACAAAAGTGGGATCACATATTTGTTCTTCTGTGATTGATTTAGTTCATTAATCTTAATGTCCTCTAGGTTCATCCACATAGCAAGATGATCCAGGAACTCATTTTTTATGGCTGAATTTCATTGTATGCATGTACTGTACTACATTTTGTTTATCTATCTCTCCCTTGATGGGCAAATAAACGGTTTCCATTTTTTATCTTTTGCTACTGTGAATAGCAATGAACATGGATGGGCATATGTCTGCCTCACTTCTGCTAGATCCCTAAGTTATACCCCTAAAAGTGGAATTCTGGGCCATAATTTAATTCTATTTTTAATATTTTGAGGATTCCCCAGTGGTTGTATCATTTTCTATTTCTACTAGCAGGGTATTCTAATCTCTCCACATGCTCACGAACATTTGCTATTTTCTACCTTGTTGTGTGTGTGTGATCAATGTCATTTTAGTAGGGAAAAGGTGGTATCTCATTGAATTTATGATTTGCATGACCCTATTAACTAATGAAAACAACAACCAAACAAACAAACACCTGTTTATGTTTTGTTGGCTGCTTGGATATCCTCTTTGGTGAAGTGTCTGTTCATGTCCTTTACCCATTTCTTATTGTGTTATTCGTGGTTTCTTTTGTTGTTGTTAAGTTGTAATGCTTTTTAATTTTGGAAAGAAAGCGATGACCTGAAGTAAGTACCAGAGACTGTAAAATTCTAACTCCACCTAAACGACAAGTATTGTAAGACTCATTATTTTTTCATGAAATATTGAATGGAAATTTGCGAAATGTAAAAGAAATCAAGGAAAATAAGACTCAGTCATAGTAGGATTGTTTTTTGTAATTTTTTTCAGTAATACATAACATTACTGGTTTCTATATGAATAAGAGTTCGGAAAAATGTTATCCTTAAGAAAATCATACATAAGTTAATACTGCAGGCTGATTGAAAATGTGAAACATCTTCTCATGACTTTTGCTACGCAAATTTACCTGTAGTATATGATTATATCTCTCTTTAAATTTGTCTTTATAGGCATTAAAATTCAAAATATTGGTCAAAAACAAGAAAATAGGAACCTTAGGGCAAACACGAGAGAGGCGAGGTTCTAATAAGCATGGCCAGGTAGAGGTATTAGAAGAAGAAGAAACAGATCAAGACGATGAGGACGATTCTGTATCTGATGATGAAAATCCTGGAAAGGAAATTGATTTTAAAAAGAAAAATCAAGAAAAAGAAGTAGAATTAGTGGAAGTAACAGCTTACCGAAAAAAGGTGAGTTGTTGCTTTGTGAAAATCTTGTGATTCAAAGCTTTCTAATTCTCTTCTTATTGTTGGAGAGTTTAAAGATTTGGAGGGGAGAATACTGTTTTCTCCCCTTAAAAGAGCTCTAATCAATTTTTTAACATTTCTTAAAATCAACAAATAAACTGGCTGTACAGATGGTATTTTAAACCTGGACAGGCGGAAACACGGGGCCAGTAACAGGATTGATGATAATCACGGGGAATGAGAGTGACAGAACTGGGAGACAGCATCAATGCGTGAAAGAAAGGGGAAAAGTTCCACAGTTGATTGCAGTCTTTCTTGATATAATTGAACGATTGAATTATATGATATGTTCAATGTAGCTCAAGAAAAAAGATTATACCAAACACAGTTACCTCGTTTCCTGTTTCTTCTTTTCACATATTTTATACTTCATAATGCCCATTTAATCTGTCCTCTGTGTACTAAGATTGTGCAGTGTAATGTACTATCTATATATGTATATAAATGAAAACGTGTCTCGACACAAGATCATACTTGAAGAGACATATGAGGAAACTCATGTTTATAATTTATAAATGAAATTTATAAATCGGTATTATTAGAGGCTGTGGAGTTGACTCTTAGAGTGACCTTAAGTATAACAGAACATAATATACTAATATATTGCTCCGTGGGTATACAAATCAACACGACAAAAGTGTGCTAGGTTGCATAGGACACAAAACCAATCCAGCCGGCTTCAGTGAAATAGGAATTTTCTGACTCATATAAATAAAAATGTTAAGGAATGATATCTGAAACAAGACCTTTACTCCTCTCTCTAACTTTTGGTATCACTTTCTTAGTGTTTATTGGTGGCAAGGTTATTTCTAAAGCTTTAGCAAATATATCCTATCAGGTGGAAAACCAATAGAATGCCTACCTAACTCCCAGTAGACCCAACACATTTTATCATTCATTGACTACCAATCTGTTAGGCGCCCATCCACTTACCCTTGCAGCGCTCTACAGAGCCAAGTTCACCACTCAGGACTTGTCCTTAAACACATTATTTGAGTATAAAAAAAGTGTAGTTCTCTTTTTAAAATTTGGGCAAGTGATTAACATAAGTGTAGTGGAAATAGTTGCTGAGTTCTAGAAGAGAAGATATCCACTATGTAGTAGAAACTAAGCCATATGTTAGATAAAATATGCTTACTCATGATTAAAATCCTTAAATTTATATAATTCACAAGGATAAACAGAAATCTGGGGTAAAGGAAATAGGAATAATTGTCATCTTCAATTTTTAATAAGCTGTTTTGGGTTTTAGATTTATACTATCTCATATTAACATCAAATATTATAGTTATAAAAATCGCAATTTAGTTGATACATTAGTTTTTGAGGAGATAAGAGATAAGCATGGCTTCTTTATTGGAGAAATAATTTTTCAAACTGTATGTGTCAAACTGTAAAGTTCTCATATTACATTATAGATCGCTAAGATGAAAATAGCGTTGGCTCTCTCAGATCTCGTCATTTATACAAAAGCTGAGAAGTTCAAAACCTTTGAGCATTCAAGAGTATATGGGCAATTTAATGAAACGAATTCTATTGGAGAGTTAAGAGCTCGAAAACTTTCAAAGCTGAGAGGTAAATTTTTATGATTCAAGTAGATGAAATTTTTAACAAGTTATATAGTCATAAGGTGCTAAGAGTAGTCATTGGTATGGTCAATGGTCATTCATCTCATAAAATTTAAATTTATTTAGCATAATTTAAAAAGATGCTATATGCCTCATGTTACAGTTTGTTCTAGTTCAAAGAACTTAGTCATGAACTTCTTTAAGCATGTCATTTTTGACACTACATACACGCTGTTGAGATTTTGATGGGGCTGTGGTTTATAGGGGAGAGCGGGGAGTGGCCTGGCTGCAGGGGTAAGAAAACTTCTTGGCCATCACATCTCTTCTGACTCAATGACGCGATGAGACAGAGTATAACTAGCCTGATGGCTTTCTGAGGCTGTAAATTCTCATAGGATTAAAAAGCTTCATCGTTCGACTTTGGAGTAGAGAAGCTCATAGTTTCAAAGTGTTGACCTTGTAGTTAGCAACCTACATAGTAATACACCATACCACCTGGTGTAGGCAGAGTTGAAGTAATGAGAAATTAGATGCTGTTGAGTTGATTCCAATTCATGACAATG